AGCAATGCTTCACATCAATCGTATATAGTATTGCCGCCCAAGGATGTCTTTCCAATAATATAGTGTAATGTGGTGCAAATACAGTATCACTTTCTCACAATGCTCAATGAGATGGAGGACATATAAAGTCGGTGGTAAAATGTAACAAAGTTTACTGAAGGAAAATCTACATAAAACATGAAAGATAAATATAAGTAAATTGGCGGGTGTCGGCAGCTCTCCTATCGCCGCCTCCGGCTACTCGATCAGCTGAGCGAATTTCAAGGGACTGGTGCTCCCTACTGGTGTGGTTCTGCTCCTCATCGCCACACTCCTGATGCGACTCTGCCACTTGCCACCACACTGATTGCTGATCCCACACAGGTAATATAGGTATATATACTGGCCTACAGCCTAACCTACCTCTAAGATAATAATGAACACGCTAATATATATATTTATTGGCCTAACTCTCCTAGTTCTCAAGGGACAATGGGAGGGAAATAATTACCTACCTCAACATTGCCTGCCACAGGACGCCTGGCCTCTGGGGGTCGAATGTGGTCCTCGGTCCCATGGACATTCCTCAGCATCCAAGACTAAAACCACAGGTCCTCGGGCGTCATGTAGAAACGCGACTTCTCCATGTTTTCTTCCCAGAATTGCAGTTCCTCCTACTGGTCTTAACAGTAGTTCCTGCGCTATTCGTCTTCCCTCGCTCGCACCTTCATTGAGACCAATGTCACCACGAATTCTTGGAGCCCTCACACCGTCGAAATAGGGCTTCCTCATACTCCCCGAAAGTACACTAGTCTTCTGTAATAACCATGGCATATGCCAGGCTGCATAAATCCACTGGGTGAGGCTCCTAGGCCTCCAATCTCGAGTGGTCACACGGTGCACGTCTGCTCTCTGCAAAGGGCTGTGCAACTCTGAGCTCCTGGAGCTCGCCAGCACTTAGGTGACGCGGCCCGGTGACGGGCTCCTTACCTTTGTCCTGACCAGGACTACGCCAAGTTGCTGGTGCCCTCACGTCTTGGCGGGAACCTGGCCGACTCGTCGCCATCTTGTACACCTAAAGGGTGTAAGTCCCCTTGAAAGGACATTTCAGTCCTGGCCTTTTTCTCTCCAAATAAGTACTCTTGCTAATCGTCACCTACATCAAACCAATCCCTGCATCTCAGGGAACATAGAGGATGTAGAGATATGACTCTTCTCGCTGGAGAAGGGAAGATATAGGAGAGGGGACCATAACATACCCCTCCTCTGAAAATGAGTCATATCGAACGAACAGCACTGGAGAGGGCAACCGGTATTCTTGCTCCTTCCATCCCTGATGTGCCTGTCCTCCCGTTAGTGACGTGGCTCTTACCACCTCGCCAGTCACTCACATCCTTTCTCCACCTTGCACAGGACCGGATGAGGTGGGTGTTCCCAGAAAACCTATAAGGAATCCTCATCCCACGTCCCCAATTACGGGCTCACCATAGCCTGTGCTACATGGACATTTCGTTCTGAGTAGCTAAATCTAAAATAACAACAACAACAACCACGTCCTCGAGTACGTTCCAGCGACTTGTTGCCACAACAAGGTTCAGTGCCTTCATTACGTTGTACACTCTGAGGGACCCGCGCACTTCCACTGCATCCTACTGGTACTTCTTGCTTCCTCTAACACTCTTCTTTTCGCCAGTCTTCTCTCTTCTCAGCTCCCCGTCTCCTGTAAGTGTGTTGCTTCCTCACAGTGACACTTGTTACCTGTCCTTCCTCCAGCAACATTTTCTCTTCCACACTAAGCTTTTGAGTTGACCCGTTGACCCAGTGACCCACCTGCTAGGCTGGAGTCTGTCCTCGGTATACCTCTTCCTGGCCTTCTTATCACCATTCATTCTGCTGCTCTCGACGAACATCTTCATTCCTCCATGAAAGTTTCTTTCCTGCAGACATCTTCCTAAGCTCATGGTTGGGCCCAATCACCTCACTGTAGCTCACATTGCCACGGTGGTTCTTCTTACGCCTACCACTATGTACTTGACTGACGTAGGGTACACTGCGTCCAGGCTCCTTCACTCCACCCCTCACAGCCGCTCGCTCACCCACTGAGGTCACCTTCCTCACACTTACAGGTGGAGGGAGTGGGACCTGCAACACTTTCATCGCCCCAACCGCCTGTATTGCTGCTCCTCATTACTCCTCCACATGCATCATTAGGCTTAGACGCAGGTCCTCATCAGGGTTCTCCATGACCTCTCTGCACTCTCGCCCTCGACGTCGTCTTCTCTGGCGACGTCATCATTGGTGCGGTCGGCTCCCTCACTACTGTCCGAGTCGTCCGACACCTCACCTGGCATGATTACACCACTGCCTGACACATAGACACTCCAGGCCCAATCGGGTTGTATGCTGCCTCCACCCAAGTTGTTACCCAGCACCATGTGAACATGCATTAGGGGTAACTTAGGGACTACATCTATGATAGCCTTCTCGACTCCATAGTCAACAGTCAGCTGCACCTCGTGAAGTGGTAACCTATATTCCTTCCCTACACTGTGTAGTCTTATTACTCCCACAGGTGATTCATCAAAATCCTTGGGAAGAATATCCCTGGCTACCATATTCACGTCAGCACCCGTATCGTGAAACACTGCAACCTTCTTTTAAAGGCTCTGACTCCCCAGACTTCACAGTACCCCCGAAAATGAACGGATGCTCACCCTGCTTTATCTCTCAACCATTTACAGTGGGACCATTATAATACGGAATAAGGGTAACCACCCTCTCTTCTTCCAACATCAGTCCCACAGCCTTCTGGCGCTTGTCACACTCTAGGGCATAATGCTCTTTTTTCACTACAGTTGTAACATGGTTACAACTGTAACCCCCCCCCCCCCCCCCCCCCCCCCCCCGCTGCTTTCTCCTTCACTCCAGTCCTCCCCACAGTGGCAAGTGCTTGGGACGGCTTTATCCCTGTGGCCTCCTCTCGTGCCTTGAGGTGCACCATAATCTCTATCCAATGCTCTGCCACCTTGGACGTCCTCAAGTGAATGCCAAAGTGGTTCGCCACGAGTTGGAGCAAGGCCTTGGTGCACCACTACAGCACACTCTCATCCCTTGTCTCCACAAACTTAGTCACCTTACCGTCCTTCATCTCTATGTCACTGAGCAAATAACGGCACCACACTAACTTCATTAGCACAAAAATAAACTTCCACTTAATGTCGGTTCTGTTACACTGTTACGGCACTCGTAAACCTTGGCAATAATGTCACTGTGCTCGCTAATCCTTGGCAACACTGTTACTCGTTCGGCTAGCCTGACAACACTGTTACTTGTTCGAAGATCCTGGCAACACTGTTACTCATTCTGGCAACACTGTTACACGATCCTGGCAAGATCGCCACTTCCGTGTCACACTGTTGGCCTTGAGTGACGAGCGTTACAGCCGGTCACAGCCGGTCTGCATCATGTTGGGGCCCGCTGGCGGAGTTCCTCACACTGCTCACGCCGCGTCGTCGCCCCTCTTCCATTCAAGACCATCAGCCAATTCTTGGCGCCCTCACACCGTCGAAATACGGCTTCCTCGTACTCCCCAAAAGTACACTAGTCTTTTATAATAACCATAGCATATGCCAAGCTTCATAAATCCACTGGGTGAGGCTCCTAGACCTCCAATCTCGAAAGCTCACTCAGCGCACGTCTACTCTTTGCAATGGGCCGTGCAACTCTGAGCTCCTGGGTACGCCAGCCTTCAGGTGCCGCGGTTCGGTGACGTCACAGCCCACGGGGGTGGGCTCCCTATTGGTCAGTATTGGCACGTGATCAGGATTAGCCAGTCACCAAGCGACTGGCGCCCTCACGTCTTGGCGGGAACCTGGCCGGCCCGTCGCCATCTTGGCCACCTAAAGGGCTCAAGCCCCCTCGTAAGGAAATTTAATCTTAGCCCTTTTCTCCCAAAATAAGTACTCTTGTTATTCGTCACCGTCCTCAAACAAATCACTGCATCTCAGGGAATATGCAGGAGGTAGAGATATGACTCTTCTCACTGGATAAGGGAAGACAGATGTTGTTGTTTTAGATTTAGCTACTCAGAACGAAGTGTCATGTAGCACAGGCTAAGGAGAGCCCATAAGGGAAGACAGAGGAGAGGGCACCGTAACAGGGGCTAGTCCAGTAGCCAAGCATTTAATGTAATTAAAGTAAGTGGCAGGTGATGTTGTTGGTTGGCTGTACCACAGGCGACCTCAGCGGTCACATAGTGGAGTGTATTGACGTAATAACTCTTTACCATTGACAAACTGCTCTTTACTGGTTTGTCCTTTTTATCAGTAATCAAGAATTTTTTAAGTAAAAATTACAAACTGTTGTTAACTTGCTTCTCATTTTTAATCTAGAAGCATTGTGTCTCCTCCTTTCCCGTACATTCTGGGCGTGTTTTCTCGGGTTTTGGGTCGACCTGCAACAGCCATGCTATTCTCATCTCTATGAGCACTTCATATTCTGATTCTGGTGCTCGATAGGATTGCACAAGTCCGGAGGCCTGGAAGTTTTTACATTTTTTTTATTTTTGCCCTGAGGGGCGAGTCTATTGGGCAGCGCCACTCATCTTGTGAGTGAACACACCTACATAGCAGCATGTACAACACTCCCCAATAGGAAGAACACCTGCTGGGTTGTTTATCCTGTCACGTGTTCCCAGACACAGCTGGGATTTGCTTAACTGTCTCAGGTGAGCAGTTTATCAGACATAAAGATTAACATTCGTCAACCCTTAAAATCTTACGTTATCTTACGGGTGCAAAATGGGGAATCTTTTAAGAACAGTCTCTATATATGACAAATAGGAAGTGTTATGTGCATCTCTGAGGTGCCACTGCCTGAGGCACCGGGTACTCAATAAAGCAGGTAAGAAAATTGCATTTTATTACATTCACTGTTTTTTTAATTGTCATATTTCCTTTTTTTGTATTTGAGAATTTTAAATATTATAAATTTTGTTCTTCTGATGCACATAATATTGACAGATGGAATGTCCCAGTTACAACAAGCAGTTCGGCACGGGTTGGAGCCATGGACGTGGCCATTAATTAACTTTTATAATCAGATGAAAGGAGCAATAACAACTTCAGCCACACAGATGACGACAGAAGAAGTGGTCCAATTTGTAAGTACTTTAATTATAGCAAACACTTTCTTTACATATAAGCATACGAAAATTACATTCGCCTTCAGCTGTCATAGACAATGTTCCTTTAGCCCAGATCAAGAACCCTTTTGAGTGGGTGTGTTAGGAAATGTACACTGAAGAATTAATTGGTGCAAGGGGTATTAAAATATATTTTGAAAGTGAAACGCATTTTTGTGCTCGGGTCCCCTCAGAAGGTTCCACGAGTCATGACTGTTGTTCCACCCAAGACTGTTGTCACCCGCCTCGCTCTTGTCACTGGCATCTCCATAAGTAATGGAAATCTTTAATATTGAAAAGTGTTATTGTTACGTAAGTTTTAGTGACAGTAAACAAAGATAGTGACAAAATATATGTATTTGGACGGATGTTGTATACAGGGGTTAGAAGGTGAAGCTTGACGAGCAGTGGTGTGACGGTGTGACGGTGTGACGGTGTGCCGGTGTGACGGTGTGACGGTGTGACGGTGTGCCGGTGTGACGGTGTGACGGTGTGACGGTGTGCCGTGTGACGGTGTGACGGTGTGACGGTGTGACGGTGTGCCGGTGTGACGGTGTGCCGGTGTGACGGTGTGACGGTGTGACGGTGTGCCGGTGTGACGGTGTGCCGGTGTAACGGTGTGACGGTGTGACGGTGTGACGGTGTGCCGGTGTGACGGTGTGACGGTCTGTTAAGTGTTATGATGCTGATGAATGTCGATGGTGTTGACGATCTGGGGCCAGATTCACGAAGCAGTTATGCAAGTACTTACGAACGTCTACATCTTTTCTCAATCTTTGACGGCTTTGGTTACATTTATTAAACAGTTTACAAGCATGAAAACTTCCCAATCAACTGTTGTTTATGTTATAAACAGCCTCCTGGTGCTTCGGAGCTCATTAATTGTTTAATAATAGTAAACAAAGCCGCCAAAGATTGAGAAAAGATGTACAGGTTCGTAAGTGCTTCGTTGATCTGGCCCTTGAGGTATACCCCGACCCGTCCTCGACTCAAGTCCATTACATCCAGCAGCTGACCTCACAGACGCATTCATACATTTTAACATGCTGTTCACTCAAAATGGGAATTTTCTCATATATAAATTAATATTATAATATATTAGCATATTGTGCATATATAGGCATAGGTTAGGTTTGGTTAGGTTCTGTTGGCGATTATTTGTATTTGTAGTACGTGGGTGAAGCATTTACAGCGTTGTGGTTCGAACAATATTCGTCAGTGAAGCACTTGTTCCGGAAGTGTTCGAACGTCATCAGTTGTGAGTGAGGTGCAAATGGGATTAGTGTAGAACATCTTGGAATGGGTAATTCATAGGGAGAAGTTTACTGGAATTAACAGGTACATTTAATTCCCTGGAATAGAGCTTCTGAGAACCTGGAGCAACTATATTTCTCATAGGCAGGCGATGAGTCACAATAGCGTGGCTAAAGTAAGTTGACCAGACCACACACTAGAAGGTGAAGGGACGACGACGTTTCCGTCCGTCCTGGACCAGTCTCTAGTCGATTTTGAGAATGGTCCAGGACGGTCACAATCGACTTGAGAATGGTCCAGGACGGACCGAAACGTCGTCGTCCCTTCACCTTCTAGTGTGTGGTCTGGTCAACTATATTTCTCATAGAATACAAGTGTATTCACTAGAAACCGTATGTCACATATTTAGTGAAGAAACATAGAGACGAATCTAACGCTAGCTATCACGGGGCGCATCAGTGCAAGTGAGAAGCAGAATCGCCAAAACTACCTGCTACAAACTGCTGTTGGTAGACCAAAGGTCTAGAGGCCGCTACCAGAAGTAATCACCACAGTGTTGAGGGGAGACACGAACCCAAATGTAACCCTTTTGCTACAAAAAAAAGTATCTGCGGTCCCCATATAGACTTATGTGAGTTTGTGAGAAGCGACCTGACTCCAGGTATCTAGGGGTAAGAGTTTACATTTGGTAGATAGCTAGAGTAAGAGTTTACACCTAGTAGGTAGATAGCTAGAGTAAGAGTTTACACCTAGTAGGTAGATAGCTAGAGTAAGAGTTTACACCTAGTAGGTAGGTAGCTAGAGTAAGAGTTTACACCTAGTAGGTAGGTAGCTAGAGTAAGAGTTTACTCTTGGTAGGTGCTGGAATGGAAGAGAGAAGTGTGCAGTTTGGAGTTCCAATTCACTGTATAAGCTGTAGGTAAAAAAATTCTCAAGTAGTTCCCTGGAACCTCTACACCTCACACCTCACACTCTACACTTGTACCTCTCACCTCACACTCTACACTTGTACCTCACACCTCACACTCTACACTTGTTCCTCACACCTCACACTCTACACATGTTCCTCACACCTCACACTCTACACTTGTACCTCACACCTCACACTCTACACTTGTACCTCTCACCTCACACTCTACACTTGTACCTCTCACCTCACACTCTACACTTGTACCTCACACCTCACACTCTACACTTGTACCTCACACCTCACACTCTACACTTGTACCTCACACCTCACACTCTACACTTGTACCTCTCACTTCTACACCTCTACACAGTTACACTTGTACCCTACACCTCTACATCTTACACCCTTCACTTGTACCCTACACCTCTACATCTTACACCCTACACTTGTACCCTACACCTCTACATCTTACACCCTACACTTGTACCCTACACCTTACACCCTACACCTCTACACCTTACACCCTACACTTGTACCCTACACCTCTACACCTCACACCCTACACTTGTACCCTACACCTCACACCCTACACTTGTACCCTACACCTCACACCCTACACTTGTACCCTACACCTCTACATCTTACACCCTACGCTTGTACCCTACACCTCTACATCTTACACCCTTCACTTGTACCCTACACCTCTACATCTTACACCCTACACTTGTACCCTACACCTTACACCCTACACTTGTACCCTACACCTCTACATCTTACACCCTACACTTGTACCCTACACCTCTACATCTTACACCCTACACTTGTACCCTACACCTCTACATCTTACACCCTTCACTTGTACCCTACACCTCACACCCTACACTTGTACCCTACACCCTACACTTGTACCCTACACCTCTCACCCTTCATGTTTACCTCTTCTACATTTGCATGGATAGACAGAGATAAAGTTTTGTCATTTCATCAAAGTATTTTGACAGTTAAGTTTTCTAATTAATGCAGCATTCTTGAACAAGCAATGATAGTTGCAGTAATATGTCTTATTAATTTATAATCCTTGTTAATTTGATGCATTTCAGATAAAATATAAGATGGACGAGTTACAGCTTAAGGTTACATCAACAGCTGAAGAAACTCGTAATACCTTGAAGGAAAACCTAGAATCATTCCAGAAATGGTTAAGTAGCCACAGTGCCTTTAAGGATGTTATTGGAGGCAGTGTTTATGAAAAAGTTAGTACCGTTTATCATATGTTGTTATATAAAGAGTTTTATTATAATTGTAGCTACGTAATATATCGCGTATGTAATGTACTTTTTAATTAAATTTTTCACTGATTTAATTTTTCTATTAGCATTTAGCAGTATTCCATCCTGAAAATGAGTAAAATAAATATATAATTAAAAAATAATACAATATTTGAAGCAGAATTCACAACCTTATCTAGCTGATAGCAGAGAATTTGTCAAGCTATTAACATTATTCTATATAAATATCTACACAAAATGTGTAAAGTAATATTATAATGAGAAACCTTCCTCACTGCAATCATTTTCATTTAGATCATGACAGCACTGGAGAAGTGGAACACGTCACAACGGAACAGTTTGGATACACTTGACAAGTTCATCTTCCTCCTTGCTGACTTTGTGCACCAGTTATTGACTAACAACAACTACTTCCTGGACGAGTAAGTTGCCCGTTATTGTAACCTGATTACAGGTAAGGGATCCACACAGATCCAGACGGTCCACACAATTTGTGGAAAATATTTTTGTTAAATCAGGTATTACAGGCTGGCAAGATTGTGGGGAAATCTACCAGTGATTAATTTATATATAATTTGTATTATTCAAATGGACTGTATTAATTTAATTATTACCTCAGAGCCGACTGTATATTTTATGTTTTAGTATCACAAGTAAACTTCCCTTCACACATTTTGGGGAGTTTATAAACTATATTTAATCATACCGTAATTAAACGATAGATCTAATCTCTATTAGGTTATTTTACTTTACTGGTCGTTAGTGATAATTATTAAGCGTGAGGTGTTTCTGTAGTGTGTAGGCTGGTCATCCAACACCAGCCACTCCCTCCCTCAGGCACGTGTAGGCAGTACTAGGCCGGTGTTAATGGCGTCCTCGTCATCATGGGAGGTCAAGCTCAGGTTTTTTGTATACAAGAGTTCTTACATTCTTGTATCCATAACGTTTCTGGCGGGTTCTTACTCCTAATGTTCTACACAATACGACCCGCCAAATCGTTTAACAACCAGGTACCCACTTTACTGTTGGGTAAATAGAGGCTACAGTTAAGATTTGACGCCCAGTAAATCCTCCCCGGCCAGGATACGAACCCAGGATAAAGCACTCGCGAAGCGCCAGGCGAGTGTCTTAACCACTACACCACAGGGACCAATTAAATTCTCCCATAATCACAATTTACCTGCCGAAATGTTACTGTTATCACCTCCGCTATGTTACCTGCCTCGTACCTGCCACAGGAATACTTATAACTCAGGCCTTTTATATTTACTACCCTCAAGGGTATGATCTCATAATCCCTGTGATATGAACATGCACTGGCACCAGTTGGTATTTAAGGGAGGGACACAAACACACTTAAGAGGAGTATAATTATAATATTAAAATTTATCATTATACACAATAATCTTCCCTTGATAACTACTTGAATTTACAGAATAAGTATAATGCAGAGTATGGCTAGTTACTAACTCTTGTCTCCACACAAACTCACATGAACATCAACTGCATACACAACGAAAATTACACTAAACTTAAGTTAACAGACATCTATCCATCAGACCACACCACGAGCTGCTGAAGGCGGCTGGCTAGGCTACCCTAGACATTGCTACTCCTCTCACCATCCCTAAAGTAACAAGTGTTGAATATATATTTTTACTAACACAGTACAGACTGAAGTAATCACTCTGAATCAGACATAATCATACTAACATAATGTTTCACACGTTCTAATAATATACCTAAACTAATAACATTCTTAAATTGTTGAAATAAACATTTACTTTTAAAAAGGGATGCACAAGATGGCAACCCCATTGTGGACTCGTCTCTCTCAATCTACTTGTCTAAGACACAGACAAGTACTTGGTCATGTTCACATAATGAATGCATTATATACTGGTATATAAGATACAATACTCTCATACATACCGTCATACACAATATATGTAAATATAATCCTACAGTCTGAGATGGGTGAATAATGTATGTTACTCATTTTGTCTGTGAGATCCTCTGGACTGTAATAGATGCTATTAATAGTTATAATTCAATTATGACATTAGGATTAAATAACTGGTGATAATTAAATCTTACCCTTGCGGGTGGTGTTGTCACGCAACATAACGAATGCTCACATAGACAGAACTTTATGGCCACAAAATGCTAATTGAAGTCGCAGCAGAGAATAACAACTCTTTCTCTTGTTCTGTGAGTCACGCTGTGTTCTAAGATGTGCCGGAAGTGTATTTTGTCGTTGTGGGAGGCTCACTCTCCGTCAGCTCAGCTCCACAACAATGGCTACCCTCATCTCCAGGCATATATGTAACACATATGCCTGGGGACCATCCAGGCTTGTTCGCATTTGTGTTCCTCACGTGTGCCCCAGAGAATGAGGGTATTTGATAAAATACTATGCCCAAGATTACCACCAGAGTGCCGGCGAGATGATGGGGAATTAGCCTCGGCTACCATCATCTTTTGTCCGGTCGTGATGGTAGAGTGATTAAGGTGTCCTGTACACCAGTTGCAGAGTGCTCCTGGCAGTATGGGTTCGAGTCACTTCTGGGGTGTAAGTTTTCAGTTATATATATATATATATATATATATATATATATATATATATATATATATATATATATATATATATATATATATATATATATATATATATATATATATGTCGTACCTAGTAGCCAGAACGCACTTCTCAGCCTACTATGCAAGGCCCGATTTGCCTAATAAGCCAAGTTTTCATGAAATAATTATTTTTCGACTACCTAACCTACCTAACCTAACCTAACCTAACTTTTTCGGCTACCTAACCTAACCTAACCTATAAAGATAGGTTAGGTTAGGTTAGGTTAGGTAGGGTTGGTTAGGTTCGGTCATATATCTATGTTAATTTTAACTCCAATAAAAAAAAGTGACCTCATACATAATGAAATGGGTAGCTTTATCATTTCATAAGAAAAAAGTTTGAGAAAATATATTAATTCATGAAAACTTGGCTTATTAGGCAAATCGGGCCTTGCATAGTAGGCTGAGAAGTGCGTTCTGGCTACTAGGTACGACATATATATATATATATATATATATATATATATATATATATATATATATATATATATATATATATATATATATATATATATATATATATATATGCCAACAAGCCTGAATGGTCCCCAGGACTATATGCGAATGAAAACTCACACCCCAGAAGTGACTCGAACCCATACTCCCAGGAGCAACGCAACTGGTAACTACAGGGCGCCTTAATCCGTGATGACGGCCATGATGGCCAAGTGGATTAAGGCGCCCTGTAGTTACCAGTTGCGTTGCTCCTGGGAGTATGGGTTCGAGTCACTTCTGGGGTGTGAGTTTTCATTCATTTTCATATATATATATATATATATATATATATATATATATATATATATATATATATATATATATATATATATATATATATATATATATATATATTAGTATATTTTGGTAGCAGTCTTTCCTGTAGACATATATTATTAAATATGACCGAAAAAGTAAGATTAATAATTCTAACACGAATTTTCTCAATCTTTCGTAAATTTCTTTTCACTGTTGGTGGTAATTCAAAAATCAATTCTCCAAAATTCATTTTTATTTCTAGTCTGACGCGACACTTGAGCGCGTTTCGTAAAACTTATTACATTTTAAAAGACTTTAGTTAACACATACACAACTGAATAGAACTTACACATCTCCGATTTGTTTATATCTACATTTGAGTGAGGTGGATGGGGTGAGGTGGCATTAATAGGGTATTAATTTCATCAACACAAGACAGAACACGAAACAATGGGTATTGAATGGAAGTGATTGTAGAAAGCCTATTGGTCCATATTTCTTGATGCTTCTATATTGGAGCGGAGTCTTGAGGTGGGTAGCATATAGTTGTGCATTAGTTGGCTGTTGATTGCTGGTGTTGACTTTTTAATGTGTAGTGCCTCGCAAACGTCAAGCCGTCTGCTATCGCTGTATCTATCGATGATTTCTGTGTTGTTTACAAGGTTTTCTCTGGCGATGGTTTGGTTGTGGGAAGAGATTATATGTTCCTTAATGGAGCCCTGTTGCTTATGCATCGTTAAACGCCTAGAAAGAGATGTTGTTGTCTTGCCTATATACTGGGTTTTTTGGAGCTTACAGTCCCCCAAGAGGGCATTTGAAGGCATAGACGACGTTGGTCTCTTTTAAAGCGTTCTGCTTTGTGTCTGGAGAGTTTCTCATGAGTAGGCTGGCCGTTTTTCTGGTTTTATAGTAAATCGTCAGTTGTATCCTCTGATTTTTGTCTGTAGGGATAACGTTTCTATTAACAATATCTTTCAGGACCCTTTCCTCCGTTTTATGAGCTGTGGAAAAGAAGTTCCTGTAAAATAGTCTAATAGGGGGTATAGGTGTTGTGTTAGTTGTCTCTTCAGAGGTTGCATGGCGTTTCACTTTCCTTCTTATGATGTCTTCGACGAATCCATTGGAGAAGCCGTTGTTGACTAGGACCTGCCTTACCCTACAGAGTTCTTCATCGACTTGCTTCCATCCTGAGTTGTGGCTGAGAGCACAGTCGACATAAGCGTTAATAACACTCCTCTTGTACCTGTGTGGGCAGTCACTGTTGGCATTGAGGCACATTCCTATGTTTGTTTCCTTAGTGTAGACTGCAGTGTTATTATATATATATATATATATATATATATATTATATATATATATATATATATATATATATATATATATATATATATATATATATATATATATATATATATATATATATATATATATATATATATATATATATATATATATGTCGTACCTAATAGCCAGAACGCACTTCTCTGCCTACTATGCAAGGCCCGATTTGCCTAATAAGCCAAGTTTTCATGAATTAATTGTTTTTTGACTACCTAACCTACCTAACCAAACCTAACCTAACTTTTTCGGCTACCTAACCTAACCTAACCTAAAAAGATAGGTTAGGTTAGGTTAGGTAGGGTTGGTTAGGTTTGGTCATATATCTACGTTAATTTTAACTCCAATAAAAAAATATTGACCTCATACATAATGAAATGGGTAGCTTTATCATCTCATAAGAAAAAAAATTGAGAAAATATAATAATTCAGGAAAACTTGGCTTATTAGGCAAATCGGACCTTGCATAGTAGGCCGAGAAGTGCGTTCTGGCTACTAGGTACGACATATATATATATATATATATATATATATATATATATATATATATATATATATATATATATATATATATATATATATATATATATATATATATATATATATATATATATATATATATATATATATATATATATATATATATATATATATATATATATATATATATATATATATATATATATATATATAAATTTATATATATATTATTGAATATGAAAAGGTGAGATCAAAGATTCAAGTGCGAACTTTTCCTATTTTTCTTGTTTTTCGTCACTTGAGAAGGAAATTGAAAAATTAACTCTCCAAAGTTCATTTTAAAATTGTATTGGGCCTGAGGCTAGGTTAAATCTTATTATTAACTTCAAAGGTAGAGACTGAATGGTTACAAGTTTTTTGCTGTCGGATACATAGCCGAGGATGAGATGAAGGTGATTTTTTTAACTATCAGAGGGGAAAGCGTCAAGCAATTACGACTTTATAGCACTTGGAAGGGGTCAAGATGAGGATTTGGGATGAAACGTTGGGGGGGGGGGAAGGAATGGTGTCCAACCAATTGGATGGTCAGGGATTGAACGCCGACCTGCATGAAGCAAGACCGTCGCTCTACCATCCAGTCAAAGTGTGTGGGAGATGAAAGTGAAGCACCTGACTTATGGGCCTGGCGATCCCATTGCAACTAACCAATCCCTTATGTTTTAATGATAATGAATGTGTCGTCGTGTTCTCCAAGATGCCAGAGTGTGTTTTGGTAATAGTTGTAGTTGGCTATTGATTCTTGGTTTGGTTTGTTTGAAATATAATGACTCTTCAATGTCCAGTCTTCTATTGTCGCTGTATTTGTCGATTATTTTGGTGTGGTTGATGGGGATATTCGCGTGTAATTGAAGATGGCTAAGCAGCAAGCTCTTATATGAAGACGTCATGTAAAGTCAGTTGCTTTGTAAAATGTTGACAGGTTCTTTACATAGACAGAGTTTTGAATATATAATAAATATTTTAACACTTGAATCACTAAAATGACTTTTACAGGCTGTATGTGTATAAACCAGAAAAATATGGCAAGATCAGATACAACCAGTACCTGCCAGTACCCTGGACCAGCTTCCTGGAGGCCCCACACTGGCATTACCTTACAAAGGGTTCACAGGTGAGAAGAGCAAACAATTCTAGTGTTCACACACTGGCCTTACATTTTCCTCACCTTGAGAAAATTAGTAGCAGCCATGAGGAGGACTTGAACCTGCATACTGCGTACTCCCAGGCACGTGCATTACACCCCTTGACCATGACATGCTCAAAAGCAATGCAACCTGGGGGTCAATTGAATCCTCTTCAGGTCCTGAGACTTCAACTGAAGACCTGTCAGGGTTCCACGCATTGCCCACATACACGCTGGCTAGGATAGCTTGGGCGTACCCAGTGTGCAGGTTCGAATCCTCCTCATATCTCCTGCAGATTTTCTCATAGATACATCATGTTAATTTGATTTCTATGTGTTTTTCCTCACCTTCCTGACACTCAGAGGTTAGCAATGGTTGATTCTCTCTCTCCCTCTTACTTTTCCTTTATTTCATTTAATTTTATTATTTTCTTAAAATTATGTTCCCTAACTTGCTCGTGCCAAGACAAAGTTTGCCGATCATGTTCACTTACTCATTTGTTGCCCGTTTACTTGTATGTTAATTAGTATATTATGGTAGCAGTCTTTCTTGTAAACATATGTTTTTGAATATGACCGAAAGGGTAAGATTAATAATTCTAACACGAATCTTCTCAATATTTCTTACGTTTTTCTTCACTGTCGAGGGTAATTGAAAAATTAACTCTCCATAGTTCATTTTCACATTTTATTTATGGTCTGATGCCTAGAAGCATTTCGCAAGAGACGTATTACATTTTCAAAGACAATTTTTACATACTCTGATTCATGATTATTCGTTTTTGGGTGAGGTGATATGGCACAAATGTTTTTGGGTGAGGTGACAGAACACTAATCAATGGGTATTCGTGCGACCAACCTACTCATGAAGAACTCTCCAGACACCAACAGAACACCTTGAAAGAAACCAACGTCATCTATGCCTTCACATGCCCACTTGGGGATTGTAAGCCCCAAAGATCTCAGAGTATATAGGCAAGACAACAACGTCTGTTTCTAGGCGATTAACAATGCACAAACAACAGGGCTCCATCAAGGAGCATATAATCTCCTCACGCAACCAAACCATCACCAGAGAAATCTTAACAAACAACACAGATATTATCGATAGATACAGCGATAGCAGGAGACTCGACATCAGCGAGGCACTACACATCAAAAAGTCAACACCAGCAATCAACAGCCAATTAACACATAGTTACATCCTACCCACTTCAAGATACCGAACCAACACAGAAGCAAGAAGAGAAGACACCAATGTACCATTGATTCGTGTTCTGTCACCTCACCCAAAAACATTTGTGCCATATCACCTCACCCAAAAACGAATAATCATGAAACAGAGTATGTAAAAATTGTCTTTGAAAATGTAAGAAGTCTCTTGCGAAACATTTCTAGACATCAGACCATAAATAAAATGTGAAATTGAACTTTGGTGAGTTAATTTTTCAATTTCCCTCGACAATGAAGAAAAACATAAGAAATATTGTATGTTTATCTATATGTATAAGAGAGAATGATGGCCAGACACTTAAGGCTAGCTTAATTAAACTTTAGGGAATATATGGTGATTTTATTTGGAAATTTTAATGGTGATTTTCAGTGACGTAGGTAGGGGGGGGGGGGGTCGGCCCAGTGTCCCAACCCCATGATAGCTTTATTTATTTATTTATTTATTTATTGTTTATTTATTTATTTATTTATATATATACAAGAAGGTACATTGGGTTTGTGAGAATAGATTGGATGGTACAGTATTTACATTCTTGTAAAGCCACTAGTACGCGCAGCGTTTCGGGCAGGTCATGTGTCATTCTTTGTATATAAAATGTTCACCCTCAAGTACATAGACTTCATCATCTGTATAACATGACAGATTTGTGTTGTAAGGGTTCCCTTTGACTACAGTGAAGATCACAGTGTAAAGGGAAAAAGTTACAAAGATGAGGGGAGGAAGCAAGACCGTGGGTGACATGTGGAGACCTGGGTGGGATGGTGTGCCTTAAGACCGGAGGAGACCCGTGCGGTGTTCGGGGACGAGGGAGGCAGTGTGTGGTGACAGGGGAGGCAGTGTGTGGTGACAGGGGAGGCAGTGTGTGGTGACAGGGAGGACAGTGTGTGGTGACAGGGGAGGACAGTGTGTGGTGACAGGGGAGGACAGTGTGTGGTGACAGGGAGGACAGTGTGTGGTGACAGGGGAGGCAGTGTGTGGTGACAGGGGAGGACAGTGTGTGGTGACAGGGAGAACAGTGTGTGGAGACAGGAAGGGCAGTGTGTGGTGACAGGGGAGGGCAGTGTGTGGTGACAGGGGAGGACAGTGTGTGGTGACAGGGAGGACAGTGTGTTGTGACAGGGGAGGCAGTGTGTGGTGACAGGGGAGGACAGTGTGTGGAGACAGGGAGGGCAGTGTGTGGTGAAAGGGGAGGGCAGTGTGTGGTGACAGGGGAGGACAGTGTGTGGTGACAGGGAAGGCAGTGTGTGAAGACAGGGGAAGACAGTGTGTGGTGACAGGGAGGACAGTGTGTGGAGACAGGGAGGACAGTGTGTGGTGACAAGGAGGACAGTGTGTGGTGACAGGGAGGACAGTGTGTGGTGACAGGGGAGGCAGTGTGTGGTGACAGGGGAGGACAGTGTGTGGAGACAGGGAGGACAGTGTGTGGTGACAGGGGAGGCAGTGTGTGGTGACAGGGAGGACAGTGTGTGGTGACAGGGGAGGCAGTGTGTGGTGACAGGGAAGGCAGTGTGTGGTGACAGGGGAGGACAGTGTGTGGTGACAGGGAGGACAGTGTGTGGTGACAGGGGAGGACAGTGTGTGGTGACAGGGAGGACAGTGTGTGGTGACAGGGGAGGACAGTGGGTGGTGACAGGGAGGACAGTGTGTGGTGACAGGGGAGGCAGTGTGTGGTGACAGGGAGGACAGTGTGTGGTGACACACACTGTCCTCTACTAACTTCTTACTTCTACTAACAGTAGAAGTCTAAGAAATAAAATTAACGAATTAAATGCTCTTGTCTGCACAGAAAAAATAGATATTATTGCACTTACCGAAACGTGGATGAATGTAGAAAATAGAGAACTATTAGCTGAATATCAAATATATGGATTTAAACTATTTCACACAGATAGATATATTAGACGAGGAGGTGGAGTAGCCATATATGTTAGGGACAATTTGAAATGTAGTCTCAAAGAGGGAATCAAAACAGAGCCACACACAGAAACTATTTGGATTGAATTAAACGAAAAAGCTAATAATATTATAATAGGAGTAATATATAGGCCACCAAATTTAGACAGAATGGAAGCAAAGCATCTATGGGATGAAATATCTAGAGCATCTAGATCTAACAGTATTTATGTCATGGGTGACTTTAATTTTAGCGGAATAAACTGGTTGAACAAAACAGGGAATAGTGAAGCAGAAGATTTTCTAGAATTAATTGACGATTGCTTTCTTACGCAACACATTAAGGAACCAACACGGGAAAATAATATTTTAGATCTAGTGTTAACTAACAGGGAAACGCAAATTAATGACATCGAAATAGGGAGTGAGCTAGGGAGCAGTGATCACAAAGAAATCAGATTTAGCATAGAATGGAATAGACCAGTAGGAGAAAATTCTGTTAAAGTGCCAGATTTTCGAAAAGCTGATTTTAATAGCCTAAGAAATTTTTTGGGTCAAATTGATTGGAAAGGCTTGGGTATGGGGTGTGGGCCGGTCTTGGAGCGAGACATGAACCCAGCGATAGGTGACTTAAATGGGGATTTCGATGTGGATTCAATATATAACTTATTTAAGAATATTCTAAACAAAGCACAGGAACGCAGTATACCATACAAATTGAATAGATCGTATACTAATGACCCAAAGTGGATAACAAAGAATTTGAAGAACCTTATAGGTAAAAAGAGAGCTCGGTACAAAAGGATTAAAAATGGGGAGGTCACTTTAGAACAGGAATTCGTACAACTGGTTAGAAATGTTAAAAAAGAGATAAGGAAAGCAAAAAGAAACTATGAAGTTCGCATAGCAGGGCAAGCAAAGACAAATCCTAAAGGGTTTTTTCAGTTATATCGTACTAAGACTAGGGAAAGGATAGGTCCATTAAAAACTGAGACAGGTCAAATAACAGATAGTGATGAAGAGATGAGTAGTATTTTTAATAAATATTTTGTATCTGTATTTACTAAAGAGGAACTTTAGTCGGTCAGGTGAATTCACAGTGAGAGGTTGTGTTAACCGGAGCTCCTGAGTGTTGTTATATTATCATAGCAATATGGAAGTTGTAGTTAAGGACCTGGTGACTCTAGTGGGAGCCCTGAGGACAGAGTTGGACTTTCTGCGGGAGGAGGTGCGTCAGCTTAAAGAACAACGAGAAGTAACGAAGGAGGAGACCAGCAGTAAAGGGACCTCGTCTTGGAGAGTTGTGAAAGACAGGGGCCTTAAGAAGACTTTGATAAAGCCGCCTTCAAACGCCATAGCAACCTCTAATTCATTTGACGTTTTGGAGGACGAGTGCTGTGGAGAGACTGTGGATCGCGCAAAAGGGAAAGCAACGAAGAGAAAGGAAGCGCAGGCCCCTCAGAGGGTAAAGGAAGTACCTAAGCAAACATTAGTTGTGGGAGATTCCCAGATAAGGTATTTGGATAGAACGTTTTGTGCTAGAGATAGGGAGAACAGGTTAAGGGTTTGCTATCCCGGAGCTGGCATTGGTGATATTATAAACAACATGAATGATATTATGGCTGGTAATGGGAACAATCCCATTATTTGCATTAGCGTGGGAGGAAATGATGTTGGTCGAGTTAGGAGTGAGGAACTGATTCAGAGGTATAAAACAGCCATAGAGTTAGTTAGGAGCAAGGGAGGAATCCCGATCATATGTGGCATTCTTCCAAGAAAGGGAGTGGGAAATGAATGGATATCGAGGGCACTTGGTGTCAATTGCCGGCTGGAAAGATATTGCAAATCAAATGCAATATCT